CTATCATACTACAATTCTTAGCACCGTTACCAGTTAACGACCATGGATTTTTTTTTCTTTTTGGTTTTGTTTCATGGGTTATATGAAGAAGCTTATAAGTTATAATAAAAATGGTCAACATTTATTCATTTGGGGTGTGCATCTTTGAAATTAGCTTTTGATATCTAGGTAGTAAATGCACTAGCTCAAATCTACAAGAAAGTTACTTTTGAAAATTACATGCTCCCTTTAAATTGTTATGTTTTTTATTTTTTAATTATGATAAGATGCTTGGATTTCATTAATATTTTTGACTTTGTGAGGTTAAAAACTTATTTTTGAAACCCTAAGTTAGGGAGTTATTGAATGAGGTTTTTTTATACAATTTTCACATATTATTAAATAAATAGATATATTTATATTATAAATTTAAAATAGATAAAAAAATTTAATCATTTAAATAATATATAAAATTATACAAAAATAATATAAAAAATTATCTCTAAATTATTTTTTATATAAAAAAATTATTATTATTATTTTGTATTTTAAAATGTACTAAACAACACAGCCGCAATGCCGGGCATAATCTCTGTTAGAGACCCGATACGGGTGTGGTGTTGACAAGTAAGTCGTAGTGTCAATACTATGCGTTCAGCGTACAGAGTTGATTTTCATGTTGTAATGCCATGATAGATCTGACGTGGCATTTAACTTAGCCACCTTAATGGGGATTTAACATTTTCAGTTAATATTAACTGTGGCTGACTAACGGTTGGACACCTTGGTAGGTTAGGTGACCATTTTGTTAGGTTTAGAAGTTGAGTGACCAAAACGTTGATTTTAATAAAGTTGGTTGACCACCCATGATATTCACCCTAATAATTAATTGTAAAAACCCTCTTTATTTCCTTCCTACTGCAAATTAACTGCAGCCGGCCATGTCTGATCCCCCTCTTCACAAACCAATTCAATGCCGGCCATCATCCCTCTCCCCACCTGGAATTGACCAATGCCAAACAGAGTACCGTCTTCTGGCGTAACTGGAAGCGTCAGAATCACAAATCAAATCATCAGTTCGATGACGATGCTGATGCTGATGCTGATGCTCCGTCCTCTTCTTGGGTTCAAGACGACAGCTTGAGCGATGCCAGAAACGGTCCGATTCCAAAAGTGACATGTATTTACCCGACCTTTGCTCTGCTTCCGTCATATTCAGGTGCAGGGACGCAAATATTGTCTCTCCAACAGTGGCAGAGCCGGGGGTGCGGGGGCGCTTGCCCCCCTGAAATTTGAAAATCTTGCAAATTGGTATATAAAAAATTATTTAACCTCCCATGAACTTTGAAAATTTTAGTATTTTGCCTCCCCTGAAAAAAATTTTTGCCTCCGCCCCTCTCCAAGACTCCTGCTTGGCTCCAGGACAAAGGGTAAGCAAAATACTACTGCTACAACTACTCCATCTCCATATGTTTTATCTGCAAACCAACAACTAAAGGATGATTCTGACGAGGATCTCCACACTATCTCATCTGGAGCATCCCCTTTGCTACTCAACACCAAACCCAAACCCAAACCCAAGATGACTAAGGCTAGATTGAAAAAAACTAGAAGAAAGCTGCACAAGGACGACTCTCTGCCTTTGCCTCCACCACTCCGGCGCGCTCAACTAGTTCTTGTTAAAGATAAGGATTATCATAATGAAAAACAGATAGTTTTGAGGCGTGATCTCACTCTCCTTAAGAATTCAAAAATCCTCTAGAATATAACAGAACTCAAACTCTCTCAAAAACTAGATGTAGAACTTTTGATTTTGCATAGGAATTTATATTGATTGAAAAGTCATTATTTGTATGGATGTATCCCTCCAAAAAGACATTATTTTATAGAGGTACCTTTAAACTTTCAAAGGTTATCTGATTTTCAGACATGTCTTTTCAAATTAAAATTTAATAAATTAAATTAAAAAATCCGAAAATAAAAAATAAATATCTTGAAAGTCAAGCCCTAAGGTGTCTCAAGTGCCCATTTTTGACCATATATAAAGGGTAAGACCCAATTTATCTTGAACTTCATTTTATTTATCTATTCGTTAATAACAAATAAACCTTTATAAATTCCTTTAACTTCTCATATTTCCTTGATGTGGGACCTTAACATTTGCAAACTACTCAACAGTTCTTATACTAGGTACCATAATCGTAATCCTCCTAGGCTCCTAGCAATGTTGGCTCTTCGGATGCCACCACTACTTCATTCATCGATGGTGATGATGAGGTGGATGATCCCTTGGATTTGCCTGCCCGTCAGGGATGTGGGATTCCTTGTTATTGGTCCAAGAGACCCTCAAAACATAAAACCTTGTGTAGGAATTGTTGCTCTTCCTCCTTTTCTGCTACTCCAAGGGGGAAAGGCACCAGCATTCTTTGTGGAGCTCAGTCGGTATACACTGGACACAGACGTTCTACCTCACTCTCCAAAAAGCGCCAACCCATCCCCATGCCCAACCTCTCCTTCCATTGCTTACTGGTGGTGGTGGGAGAGGAGGTTCATCCATTGAAATTTACTAAATAATATCTAAATTACATAAAAATATTATTAAAAAATTATCAAGGTTGATTGAAATCCAGGGGTACAAACAATTTATCAAGTATTTGCCGTACAACTTTTATTAATAATAAAAAAAATAATAGAAAAATTGGAAAGTTTGAATGTTGGAAAAACTATGAAATAGCGCAAGACTAAAAAAATTGCTTCGAGACGTGGTTTCACTTTTTTTTTTTTAATTTAAAATTTTTTAAAATACAATAAAACTTAAAATTTTTTCAGAATTAAATATAAAATTTTGATTTTGCATAAGAGTTTATAATACTTAAAAAGTCATTATTTGTGGGGATATATTCCTTAAAAATTATGCCATTTTATAGAGATACCTTTTGATTACCAATAATTTTATCTGATTTTCAGGCATATATTTTCAAATTTTAATTTAATAAAATAAAATAAAAAATCCAAAAGATCCAAAAATAATAAAAAAATTAATGATATTCTGACAATCAAATCCCAAAATGATATATTCCAAGTGCTTATCTTTTGACTATATATAAAAGGGTAAAACTTAATTTATCTTAAATTTCTCTTTACTTAATTATTTATTAATAATAAATAAATCTTTATGAACTCCTTTAAATTCTCATATTTTCTTAACCGTGAGATCTTAAATATTTACCAACTATTCAACATTGGATCCCACCTTCTTCGCATCTACTTATTTAGGAGGACAAGGATAAGGATACCTGCCAAACGGAGCTGAAGCGAAGGGGGTTTGGGTTTCGGAGATCGTCTCGCCTGTTATCAAAAAAAAAAAAAAAAAAAATCTGAAATTATTTTCAGTGGTATTTTATTTATTTAAATCCAATTTCATTAATTCCTTCATTTCTTTCTTAATCCTTAATCCTGTAGAATTCACTGAGCTCAATCCGATTGGATACGTGCCGGTGCTGGTTGACGGTGATGTTGTGGTGTCTGGCTCTTTTGCTATTTTGATGGTCAGTCAGTTACTTCTTTCTCTCCAGTCTCCACCACTCCACTCCACTCCACTCCGCCCCTTTTTCTCTTATAATAACTGTTTCATTTCTTTGTTTTATAATAATATATGTTTTTCTGAAATCTAATCGGGCAATTGAAGTATCTGGAAGAGAAGTACCCTGAGCATCCACTCTTGCCATCCAATCTTAATAAAAGAGCAATCTTAATAAATGGATAAAAAAAAAAGAGGCTAAAAATGACCTAAAATAACTTTAATTTGATTCCTTTATTTAAAAAAAATATTTTTTTTTTTGGTTTTTTTCTTTGGAAATTTTCATCACTTTGTTAAGTTGAGAAGCCTAGAATGAAAAAAGGATTTCTTCATTCATAGAATAATGAACATACACAGTATAATATATAAAAAAATAAAACTACTAAACCTGATCTAACTAGGAAAGAATATAAATCAATAAAAAGAATATATATCAATAATATTTGCAATTACAGTTGTGAGATCTTCGAAATCTAAGAAATCATAGAGAGGATCCAGGACTTCATGGAGAAGATTTACTTTCCTTAATACTCCCCTGCAAGATGGAGGTGCCATCGGCAACTCCGATCTTGGACCGCAGATGTGAAAATCGGAGAGAAGAGAGGGGCTTTGTGATCCCATCAACAAGTTGATCCTGGGACGCAACGTGAGAGACATGGAGAACCCGCTTATCAACCAAATCCCGAACCAAATGCAAGTCAACAGCTATATGTTTCATGCGGGAGTGCATAACCGGATTGGAGGTAAGATAGGTGGCACCAATGTTGTCACAGAAAATGGCTAGAGAAGTGGAGCTAGAGATCCCAAGTTCACCAAGCAAATGTCAAACCCAAACAACTTCAGAAGCTGCAGCAGCAAGAGCACGATATTCTACCTTGGTAGAGCTTCAAGCAACCGTTTTCTGCTTTGCCGCTCACCAAGATATTGGATTCTGACCAAGAAAAACAATATACCCAATGGTGCTAACCAGTGTATCCCGATCGCCAACCCAGTCCGCGTCTGAATAGGCATGAAGGGACATGGAGGATTGAGGTCAAAGTAGTAAGCCATGAAACATGGTGCCGCGCAAGTAGTGCAGAAGGTGTTTCGTCGCCTGCTAGTGGAGCTCAGTGGGGCGATGCATAAATTGAGCAACCTTGTTGACAACAAAGGACAGATCAGGCCGAGTGAGAGCTAGGTACTGGAGAGAGCCAATGGGACGTTTGTAATCAAAGCCATCCGAAAGAGCAGAGCCAGAGTGAAGTTGCAGATCGGCGTTAAAAGCAAGTGGCGTGGCAACCGGCTTAGCTTCATGCATCCAAAATCGATGAAGGAGATCATTGACATACCGGTGTTATGAAAGAAAAAGTCCAGCATTGGTGGGAATTGCTTCAATGCCGAGAAAGTAGCTAAGAGAACCCAGATCTTTAACAGAGAAGCGGTTACTCATGCACGTGATAAGGAAGAAACAGCAGATGGATCACTGCCAGTAACAAGGATGTCATCCACATAAACCAAAAAATATATCCAAGTAGAATGCCAATGATAAACAAAAAGTGAGGAATCTGAGTGAGATTGAGAAAACCCCTGAGAGAGAATAAATTGCTTGAGTTCCTGAAACCAAGCCCGCGGAGCCTGTTTTAAACCATAAATGGATTTCCGTAAGCGACACACATGAGTAGGAAGAACCGGATCAACAAAACCAGTAGGCTGTGCCATGAATAATTCTTCCTCAAGATGCCCATGCAAGAAGGCATTGTTGACATCCAATTGACGAATAGTCAAGTTCCTGCTAACAACAATAGATAAACAGTACGAATAGTAGTAGGCTTAATCACCGGACTAAAGGTATTGAAGTAATCAAAACCTGGACGTTGATGGAACCCTTTAGCCACAAGACGCGCCTTGTAGCACTCAATGCTGCCATCTTTGGCCCTTTTAATGCGAAACACCCATTTACAACCAATAAGGTGCTGATCCAGAGCAAAAGAAACCAATTCCTAGGTTCCTTGGTGAACTAGAGCACTAAATTCATCTGACATAGCCTATCGCCAATTGGGATCTTTCAATGCTTGAGTCACACAAGTGGGCTCACAGAGAGGAACAGGAGAGTTAGAGATGGCTTGGTGGAGTAATTTTGGTTTAAAGATGTTATTGTGGGATCGGGTGATCGTGGGATGAGTGCAAGTGGGCTACGGAGGTGGTATGGGTGGAGGGTTGATAACAGGGTCAAGGGTGGGCTCATGCGACTGGAGCTGGATAAATGAGGGATCGGGGGAGGCCAGCGCAGGTGGATGGGCTGCGGGCGGAGAGCTAGAGGTTGGATTAGGGGGTGGGTGCTGGTGAATGGTAGATGGGTGGATAGGCAAGGTTGAGGAAGGCTGAAAGGTGTGGACCACTGCAGGAGGAATAGCTTCGTGCACCAAAGATTCATGAGGAGCCACAGCGAAGACATCACTTGATGGCAGCAGGTCGTCCAGGCCATCCAAAGGGGAATTATGTGGAAGAAGATGGATATGTGAATCCTTAGATTGAGCAGGGAAAGTGTGCTCTTGAAAAATAACATGCCGGGAATAAAATAATTTCTTAGTAGAAAGATCAAGGCATTTGTAACTCAAATTTTCAGAGGAATAACCAACAAACAAACACGAATGGGAGCGATATTGAAACTTGTTAGAGTTGTAAGGGCGTAACCATGGAAAACAAAGGCAACCAAAAACCCAAAGTTTATGGTAGTTTGGCTTGACACGGAATAGTTATTCAAAAGGAGATTTATTGGCAATAGCCTGGGAAGCAAGTCGGTTAATGAAGTAAGTAGCAGTTAAAAAAGCAAATGACCAAAATTTGGAAGGAAGAGATGCAGTATGCGATAGAGCAAGGCCAGATTCAACTATATGTCGATTCTGACGCTCGCTGATGCCATTAAGTTCAAGAGTATATGGTGGGGTAATAAAGTTGAGATGCCATGTTGAGATAAAAAATTATGAAGAGCTACATATGCGCCCTCGCCATCAAAATGAAGGTTTTTAATTTTGCAATCAAATTGATTTTCAACTAATAGTTTAAATTTTTGAAAGATTGAAAAGACATCAGACTTGTGTTTGATTGGGTAAAGCCAAATATATCGACTAAAGTGATCAATAAATAGCACAAAATAACGAAAACCATCAATTGAAGTAACAGGGATAGGTCCCCATACGTCCAAAAAAACATGCTCGAGAGGTGAAGTACTAGTGATAGATAAATTTGAAAAAGGCAATTTGTTGCTCTTAAAGCATGAACAAGAATCACATGACGAAAAACTTATTTTATTAGATAATGGGAGATTAAAAGAGGTGACAATATTTTTTAGAGTCTTTATTGAAGGATGGCCTAGATGAGAATGCCAATTTGCCATGGTGGTGCGTTCTCTCAAGAATGCCTGTGGTTGAGGGCTAATTGTTCCTTGAATTTGATAGATCCCATGAAGGTTTGGTCCTCAAAGTAGTATCTTCCTCATGCAAGAGTCCTTCACCAAAAAATAATTGGAGTGAAATTCAATGTAAACATTGGCAATTTTGCATAATTGAGATACAGATATTAAATTGCGAGAAGCAGATGGAACACATAAAATATTACAAAGAGGAAAGGAGGAATTTGGTGTGTGTAGTGTGGAGTGACCCACATGTGTGATTTTCAAACCTGTTCCATCACCAATTTGAAGTTTATCAGGACCATTGTATTCAGAATGAAGTGTTAGGTTTGCCAAGTCACTCGTAACATGGTTATTAGCACCAGAATCTAACAGACAATCACCAAGAAACCTGTTTGAAGATGAGGCATAGTTGGCCATTGGGCCAAGAGACTGAACACGGAAATTGGGGCAATTTTGGGCAAGATGGCCAATATGTCCACATAATTGGCAAGTAGATCCAGTGGGCCGAGTTGGATACCTTGGGCCTTGTCCACGACGTCTATTCAGATTGGGTTTATTAAATTGGCCAGCACCTCCTCGTCCACGATATGGCTGAGGATGAAATTGCGATTGCCGACTAGAAGGAGTGGGGAGAATACCTGCACTTGAAGAGGTAGATGATGTGAGTCCAGGAGTAGAAGCAAAGTGAGCTGTTATCGGAGATACATCAATCCGAGCTTCATCGCGACGTAAGCTTTTTTCATATGCCACTAATCGATCATGTAGATCATCAAAGGAAAGAGATGAATCACGAGTCTGGAGAGATGCAGCTATTTCCCAAAATTCTAGCCCTAGACCATTCAATATATAAACAGTGAGATCATCATCAGAGAGTGGATGATCCATAGTGCCAAGCTCGTTAGCGACAGTTTTCAGAGAACGAAGATACTCAGAGACTGGACGAGCATCACGTTTCATGGTTTGGAGCCGTTCCTTGAGGGTTATAACCAGAGTGCGAGAGCGATTGGCATAAAGTTTTGCTAAGGTTTCCTAGGCTTGCTGTGCGGTGGCTGCAGCAGCTATGTACGGAGTGATGTTCTCCAAAACAAAGGTGATTAGGGCGTGTCGAAGGAGTTGATCTTGGCATGCCCATAGACTGTAGGTTAGCTCGGTTGCAACAGGACAAGGATGAGATCTATCAAGGAAACCAGCAAGTTCATAGCCTCCAAGAAGAGATACGAATTGAGCCTTCCAAGAGAGATAGTTGTTGGGTGTGAGCTTGACAGGAAAGGCTGCTGAGTTAAAGGAAATCGAATTGCGGGTGATCTTGGGTTCAAGCATAGTTACGGTTGAGTGTTTGGATGCTGTAGAATTGGGGGTCTCGTCACGGGTGGCCATGGGATCGGAGGTCTCGTAAGAGAAGGTATGCTTTGATACCACTGTTAAGTTGAGAAGGCTAGAATCAAAAAAGGATTTCTTCATTCATAGAATAATGAATGTACACAGTACAATATTTAGAGGAATAAAACTACTGAACCTGATCTAACTAAGAAAGAATATATATCATTAATATTTACAATTACAGTTGTGAGATCTTCGAAATCTAGGAAATCATAGAGAGGATCCAGGACTTAATTGAGGAAATTTACTTTCCTTAATACACTTAACATTAAAACTTAATAAAAGGATTAAAAAAGTTTTAAATTCCAAATTTTAAGAAAATTTTTTTTTTAAGTAGATGAACTAAAAAAATTGGCGTTTAGGATTCCACGGTTCATGAACTAGTACATTTTATTGAGTTGCAAAGGAAAGGAACAAGGTGGACACTTGTGGATAAACACTTTTCCATTGAATGAGGAGAAGCATTCATCGTCTATTTTCCAAATATATATATATATATATATATATATATATGTACAAGGGTCAGCAGTCAGCACTAATTTTGGAGGCGGCAATATAAATCATCACTAAATAAATAAGAGTTTTTTAAATTTAAATTCATAAATAAATATAGATTAAAAGTAAATTCACTTTTGGAGTTAATAATTTATTTTTAAATTGTAAGTGTTTAGATGTAATTAGTTAAAAGTTTGATTTTTACTAACTGTTTAAAAAAAATTTCTTCTCTCTTAAATTATCCTTATGTTAAAAAAAACAAATTAAAAATATTTTTTAATTAATTATAAAATTTTACATTTTTAATATAAATTTATAATTAAAAAATATATTTAATACATTTTTAATGGTACAAATTAAATTAACCTAATAATAAATATTCCTTTTTTCTTTCGTTGCAACTTCGAAGGCCGGACCAGGTGTACCCCACGCGGCGTACATTAGTCATTTCCACTATTATGATGTCTTGTCTTCGTCTTCTTTTTTCTTTGTCTTTTTCTTTTTCTTGTGTGTGTGTGTGTTGAAAGTCTCTGTAATGTTGTCCGATATCTAAATAGTTGAAATAGGTTTTGCTGCAAGCTTTTTTTGTTTTTTGTTTTTTTTTTACAGTAAGAATGGTTAAAAGTTAGAAGTTAGGTTAGTATTTTATTTTTAACAAGATTCGATTACTGATTAGAAATGTAATTCACCGACAGTTCAACAGTGACCACCAATAAACTACAACAGGTGAATGCTTTTTTTTTTTTTTTTGGTTTATTCTGTTCGTGTGTGTTGAAAGTCTCTGTAATGTTGTCTTGTCTTCGTCTTCTTTTTTCTTTTTCTTTTTCTTTTGTGTGTGTGTGTTGAAAATGAACTCGCTTCTTCACCTTTTTTTGGGCCGTCCATCAAGATTCAAGAATAGATGGGCAAGAATCTTATCTTTAAACAATTGAGACCACTCAAAAAAAGTTTTTTCTTTAAAAACGTAAAAAGTGTAAATTATTTTTAAAAATTATCACATGAAAATAAATTTTTGATGTAATTTATTATCTCAAATTTTTATTTTTAAAAAATTAATTTAAATTTAACTTTTATTGTTAACTTTCTGTTAGAGTATTTAAGAAATTTAATAAAAACCATTAAATTTAAGCTAGTGTTTTGAAAATAAAAATTTAAGATTGCAAATTTCATCAACATTTGTTTAGATAATGATTTACTTCAATGTAATAATTTTAGAGGGTAATTTATATATTTAACCTTTAAAAAAACCAAATTAGCTAATTAAAATTAGGCAATGGGGCACCCTTTTTTTTTTTTCCAATTTTAGACAACCTTTCTTCACAAAAAAGCCCTAAAGTACTCTCCTTGTAAAACTGCCCATACAACTTCTGTTTAATTCCTCCATGTTGCGTTGTTATTCATTAATATACTCAAGAATCTAATTATTTAGGACCCTGATTGGTGCACACCCGGATCTAACACCCGGGTGTGCACCCCCATATAAAAAAAAAAATTGGACCGGGTGGGTGATGGGCATTTTTTTTTTTCAAAGGGGAGTGTGCACACCCGGGT